GCTTAATTTGTGAATCAATATTTTATAATGGATTTTTCTTTGAAAATATTAAATTCTCCTTAAAATTAAAAGTCTTATTATAATTTTTGGAATATTTCAATCTTGACGCTAAAATTGTAGAAGTAGTGAATTTACAGAATTCTGAAATGTCCAAGTTTATTAATATTAATTTTTTTAAAGAGGTACCAGAGCGTTCTAAAATAAATTAAACTATTCCAGCTACTTTAAATTGCTGAATTTATAATATCAAAAGCACAGAAGAATGTCATTTTGAAAGTATCGTATTATTGCAATATTAAAATATTGGAATTTTATAATAAAACATTTATGGATTGCTGGATTTCGGAGATTCCGAAATTTTAATATTAGAATTATCTCTGCGTAATATTTTCACAATGTAATTTTCAAAACAATTGCTCATTTCAATATTGTCTTTAACATCAGAAGATATTTGCTGCTTTTATACAATTAAACGTCAGTTGATTATATTCTGTCATCTTTAAATAGAATAATGCAAAGAAGAACATAATGTTGCGAATTAAAATACGTACCTCGTACGAGTAACGGCGAATTAAGAAGATACCTCGCAGCGATACGCAATCAATTGCCGTCCCACGTAATTAAAGTCCGAGCTGGAAATCGAACGCGACGATCGAATGCATCCGATCCGACATTCCACGAAAGGCGACAACGTCGATCGCGAGCTCCCTTCCGACTGTGTCTCTCGCAGTGTTCCCCCGCGGTGCCCCTCGTCCGGAAGTCCGCCTGTCCGAACACGGCGTGCTCCCTTCGGATGGCAGAAGAAAGGTTTGCGTTGTGGTTGAGCTCTCACTTAGCGGTCGTGGCGTCACGATCGGGACCAGCGCATTAGCATATCTCGCACGATGCGGCGTGTCAGGGGGTGCGAACTGGGTAGCGAAGGAGTGGGCGAAGGGGAAAGGGGGGGGAGGAGAAGAGACAAAGCGCGAATGGACGCGGAGCGGCGAGCGCGATCTCTTCTTCGTAGGTCGTGAAAAGGCGCACGATCCGTAATGCGAATCGTTTCAAGGGTAGTTCGGGGGGGGGGGGGGGGAGGAGGACGGGGCAGAAGACTCACTCAGCGGGCCTTGCTGCTGCCTGTTACCTGTACGTCGCGTGTTTGCCTACCCGCGTCACGATCAGCATCCTATTTGCATAGCGCCGATGAAGCTGCTACCGTCCTGCCGCCCGCTGCAGTCCTGCCGAAAGATTCGCGTTCAGTTTGCGTGTACATGGGGTGTCGTAAAAATTATGCACTTCTCCCAACTGTTTTGGGGTGGAATTATTTTTATTCTCTTTTCTTCGCATGAGCAATTTATAAAGGAATTTTTTTACGAGCGATAAAACGAGATTTCGTTACGAGATACAAATTCGGATAACATTTAATGTGTATATCAGAGAATTTTTTTATTTGAGGAAAAAAATCAATTTGAAATTGTCTGAAATAGATGTTTGTAATTTGAGAAAAAATTTCGCAGAAATTTTTAATATCAAAAGGATTGCGATTTTGATTTGCAAATTAAGTATTTTTTTTTATTGTATTTATTTTAGCGACAAATTGCAATAACATTTTTGTCCAAATAAGTAAAATTTCTTTCTTTAAGATGGAAATTCTTTCTCAAAACAATGAGACAGAATTCTTTTTCTTGTTACGTTCAATCTGGATCGGAAGACAGCGGTGTTTTTAAAAGTTTCTACAAGTTGTAACGTTTAAGAGGGGTGACCCGAGACCGTGAGACTGAAGGGAAAAGCGGAAAAGGAGGGTAGAAGAGTGGTATAATAAATGCCCCGCATACCTACTTATTACTTTAACGAGCGGACGCTTTACATCACGCGGCGGCACGCGTGTGCTCTCGGTCACGGAACGCAGCGAATGATTTACCGGCCCGTAACGTGCATTCGCGCGATTCCTCACAATGCGTCGCGCCTATACATCTCCGATTGTTTATCGATCTTCGTCTCATTAAATTAACTGGGCGTTTGCCGCCTGGCCCTGCAGATGTAATTTAATTTCACCGTCCTTTTGCGACAATCACAAAAAGCATTTGTCTCAATGCTGAGAAAGATGTATTGCAAAATTCCTGACCTTAAATTTATAGGTTCTTTAGCAAGCCAAAAAGTTGATAATTTTAATACAAAACTAAAAAACTTGTAATTTTATATTTAAATAATAGGTAAATCTATTTTTTGCAAGTAGAAAAATAAAAATCGAAGCTTCTTGTTGGCCAAATTACTTCGATCGATTTTAAACATTTTTGCAATATTATGATCTTTAAATTAAATGTGCGTCGATTTTTCAAAAATTTATAGTTTGAAAAATTAAGGGATTTCGCAGTTCTAAAGATCTTAAAATCTTCTAATCCGAGGATAAAAAATTTTAAATATCCTCGAACTCGAAACTAGAAAGTATTCGATAAATTCAAGAGGACGTAATAAGATATCTGACGAACTTATCGTCGCGTGATGCGTCAATTGCGTCGGGGCGCCGGGTAAATCGGCCGGAATTCGAGGGCTCATTAGCGGGACGGCGTATCGGAAGGGGCGTGGGGTCGTATATATCGCACGGGGTGCGAGGGGGAAGGAGCGCCGGCAGGATCGAAAGTACGAGCTTCCGGCTCCGTTCTTCAGCGGCGACGCCGAGCTACTCCGCGATTGCTCGCTTCTTGCATAAAGCGCGGCGGGGCGCGGGGACCCGAAGGCGTACAACCGGGCGCGGCGGTATCGGTTCCGAGAAAGGCTTATCAGCCCGCGGATATGTTAATGGCGGCCGTGTTGCCTCCCCCCTGGCTCTCCCACCCTTCCCGCCACCTTTTCGAGATATATTGCACCCCGACCGTCGCACGATGGAGGTGGTTGCTCGCTCGCTAAGCCGGTGGTTGTTGTAACCGCGCAGCCCTCTCTCGATCGGCGGCAATACAGTGCATGCACGCGCAATTAAGAGTCCACAGTGAGAAAGTCTGGGGAGCGTTTAACGAAAAATAGAGAAATCTAGATTCTAGAATAATAATCCATAATAATAACGTTTTTCACTAGTCGTTCAAATATTGTATCAGTATTTAATTTTGATACTTTTACTTTGTAAATTTTCTCTCTTTCACTTTTCTGAAATCTTTGAAATTTTGTTTTTAATTTAAGAATCTCTCTATTGATTATTTTTCTTCTAAATTTAGATTAAGTAGTCTAGTATTTGAAGAATTTCTTTGAAGCGTTAGTGCTTCGGAATTATGAAGAGTTGAATTGAAATTTTCGTGTTCTTCATATCTTTCGAATCTGTCATATTTAAAGCTATGAATATTCTTGCGCTCGCATTCTCAGATACGAAACAAATTCCCGGGACCGCCTGAAATGCGGGCTGTTTCAAACTTCAAATCCTCGGACTATTGTATTCTCAGATCCTTGGATTAACGCTCTCCGATCCTTGGATTACGTTTAGATTCTCCGATCTTCGAGCCGATCGCGCGCCAATCCACGCTCGGAGATCATCTCGGGAAATCTCCCGCTCGATAATAAAAGCTCGGAGAAAAAGAGAGAAACCAGCCGTGAGATAAGGAGATTTATCTTCCACCTCTATCATACACGTCCTCCCTTTCTCCATCTCTCTCTCTCTCTCTCTCTCTCTCTCTCTCCTCCCCCTCCGCCGCCACTCACCCTCCGCCTCCTCGCACGAGCAGGCAATTAAAGCATCCGGGTGATTCTCGAGTCCCGATCTCTCTCGCGACGACGAGCCACCACCTGGACCGTCCGGTCTGTCTTAAAGGTCCTTGACAATCGATCGGGGGAGAAGGATGTCTCGAGAAGGAAGTTTCGATGTACGCGCGATCGTATCTCAAATTCTTAGCCTGGAACGATTTATTACAAGTTATTTAGTTAACGCACACAGTGCGATAAAAATTATTGACACGCGGGATAAATAATTTTTAAAATACAAAATAATTTGTTTTTGTATAACTCTTTGAAGATTTTTGCGTTCTCAAAGTTCGTTATGTTTTGGATAGGTCTATTATTTGACAACTAAAATACAACAATTTTCATAAGAATATAATTTTTAATTAATCTCGCTTAAATCTTTTCAACATTGATATTAATTTTTCCAAACATTGTTTTGAACAATTTAATTCCTAATTAATCTACATTTAACTTTCTCAAGTTGGATCGATTCCTGCAATTGTCGGTGACACTCGTGACTTCCTCGATAACGCAACCCCCGGTATCTCAGGGTTAAATCCCCATATCAATGATCTATCAGCCCTACGCGCACACACTCCGCCGGGACCAGCCCTTAAACACTGAACTTATTCGACAGGCTGCGCGCGAGCAAAGCCGAGCACGAGAAACCTGAAGTGGGGGATGAACGGTAGTGTGCGAAGGGTGCAATTGGTGGTCGCACCGGACGGGGATAGACCGGGCCGGAGGGGGAAGGGAAACGTAGAGTAAAGGCAACGTAGGACTGTGAGGTTCATTAGGCACCCGGACAGCCGGAGAGCGACATCGCGTTCGCGCGTCGTCCTTTTTCCACCCTTCTTTCTGTCACCGCGATCCGTCCAGCTTGCCTTCCGGTCCAGCGGCGATTATGGTCATCTCGCGGCACTGGCGATTCTGCGGACCGAAGAAATGTACGTTCGCGTCGACGGAGAGTTCATGGTCTTCGATATTTTAAAGTCCACTTTACGATTTCACACTAAATTTGACTACAAGGATAATTTAAAATGTTATAATAGATTTAATTTTTTATTTTATACAATTCAAGATATATTATTTAAATATTTAATGCTAGATTTTAGTATTTATGTTAAATAATATATCTAAAATTGTACAAAAAGTTATATCTAATTATTGTAAAACAATTCTTGTGCGCGGATTTAGAATTCTGATTTATTATTGCTACGCGGCGAAAAAATTTTGACTTTTTTTAATCATTTTCACGAATATCTTCCATTATCTTATTGCTGGATTTTGATGAGTATCTTTGTTTTGGTTTCTAGGGGAGGATGAAGAATGGAGCGACTCGGAAAAGACCCCGTCGGTGAGCAGCGGTGTGGACGGTGGCGGATCGGCGGTATCGAGTCCAGTTGCGCCGACGGTCGAGGAAGAGTCGAGCGTACCACCTCCTCCAAGACTTAATCCCGCGTCGTCCTCGGTCAGTTCTTCTGTTAGTGAAGACCTTAGGCTGCGTCTCAGCGTATTCACGGAAGACCGAAAACGTCTGACCAATCTTGTCGAAGACATCGAGGTACACATCCACCTCGTTCAACTTCAATTTAATCCATCATTTTTTTATTAATTTATATTATATCAAAGATTCAATTTCTTGATTTTAGAAACCTTGTTTCAACATATTGAACGAGAAACTTTTTTTTCAATTATCAAAATTTCTATATTTCTTTCTTCAAGAATTCAGAGAATCCAAGGAAATTTATTTTCTTCAAAAATTTTAGCTCAATAAGTTGGTGAAAAATTTGTTATCGAAATTAATAAAAAGATAAATATCTTGGGCAGGTCGTGAAGAACAAAAGAGACCGCCATGCGTCGTCTAGTAGCGTGCGGACGCGAGAGTCGAGTCCTAAGGATCTTGATGAGGATCAACCGCAGGTGGTTAAGGAGGAGGAGTGGCAGCCGAGGTCGTCGTCCACCGCTATTCGGAGACGGGATTCCGACTGTCGAAGGGACACGGACGATTCCGCTGCTACCGCGACAGCCGTTACCGAGACGAAGAGGATGAGACTCGACGACGAGACAGCACCAAGACTGAGACTCAATGCTAGTCTGGCGACGGATCCCGCGCTGCGACCCGCCGCCGTCGCCGCCCTTACTGTGAAGCCCGACAACACCTCACCACTGACTCCGACGCCGCCGCTGCCAGCCGGACTACAAAATGGTAAGCAGGCAGGATGTATAATGAAACTATTTTATACTGATATGTATATTATGGTTTCAAAAATTTTAATTTTTGAATTTGAAACCTTAAATTCCAAATTTTTTATGCTTAAAATTGTTGGATTTTTAGTATTAGAATTTTTGAAATTATTAAGTTAGACGAGAAGAAAAGTTGTTTTTTACCAGAATTCGAAATAGTCTCCAAAATTCTCTTCAAAAGAATAAAAAAATATTGAAACGATATGTAACAATTAAGGATAAATTAATCACCGAGCAATTTTAATTGTTCTAACTGAACTGATTAATTTCACCAGCAATCGCTTCGGGCCGCCTGTTTGTCTTGCCAACCGACGGCAAGGAGACGATTACAGTGGAGCCTGCAAGGCCGCCTCCTCCGACCGCCCTGATTTGTCTGCCATGCGGCATCAAGTTTAGTTCGGCTAGCACCCTGGATGCTCATCGCACCTTTTATTGCGCGCATCGACCCCGCGTGGACGAAGATACGGCAAACGATGACGACGAAGATGGCAGCGGCAAGTCCAACGCTGCTGGCAGCAAGTTCGAAGTGCGAAAGGCATACGCCTGTCCGCACTGCTCTTATAGCGCCGACAAGAAGGTTTCCTTGAATCGCCATATGCGGATGCACGCAGCCTCGCCGGCGCCGCCAACGATACCGCCGCCAGCGGCGACGGCGACGGTAACGGTGTCGCCAAATCCGAACTCCTCGTCGAGCAATCCCGCTACGCCCGGTCAGACGACTGCTGCCAACGGATCGCTGAACGTGGAGACTGAGAAGTATTGCAGAAACTGCGATATCAAGTTCAACTCATTGAAGACGTACAGGTGAATGCGCACTAAAGTGACTTGATTTCTGCACTTGAAAGAATCTAGAAGAAATTTGTCAAGATTTATAAGTAGAACGAGTTGTGTGTGGAATTAAAAGAAAGATCGCGTCAAATATGGTTGTTATATGTAAAATTTATTTGCGATCACACATGCAAACATAATGTAATTTGCAAATTTACTTGAATTAAATGTAAATAAAATTTGCTTAATTGCAATTGAGAAGTATAGCAATTTGTATCTATAAATAAAAAATCCGCTTAAACTAATTGAAATTTGATTTGTTCGCAGGGCGCATAAATCGCATTACTGCAACACTCGGCACGTTGTGAAGGACGCATTGCCGACGCCGACGGCGGCACCGGCGTCTTCGGTGAAGACGTCGCCGCCGACCAGCTCGAGCCCCGGCGAATCGCCTCCCCCGCAACCGTGCCTGGCGCTACCCACCAATCCAATCCTGATCTTGCCGTACTCCCTGTTGCGCGGTGCGAGCGTTCTTGCCGCGCCTGCGTTGCCAACTCCCGACACAGCGTGCTTCCTTTTGCCAAACGGTTCGTACTGATCTTTCTCTTAGTTTTTCTTTAATTTAAAAATTATAAATTAACACATTAAATAACCTTGATGTAACGTTATCTCTTCAGGTTCCCTGCAGCCAATGACGAGAGGTCTTACCCCCGCGACTCAGAACACGGTGGTGGAACCACTTGTTCTCAGGGCGGCGAATAAACCGACAACGCCGGCGTCGATGGTCGTAGCGGCGTCCACCTCGCCTTCCGCCTCGACTCCCCTCGATCTCAGCGTACGCAGATCGCCGGAGCATCAGGACGAAAAGGAGGACAGGATGTCGCCGACGCCATCGTCTCTACCACCGCCGCAGGGTAGTCCTAGATCCCGCGGCAGTGGTAGTCCCAGGACACGATCCGTCGGACCGAGCCAGAGCGTTGCGGGCGGCGCCGTCGTCCCGCCCGCACCCGCTGAGCTCGCCCTGAGACTCGCCGAATTGCCGCCACCACCCGTTCCCGGAGTGCTTGTCAAACAAGGCGTGTCTAGGTATAAACTCTTTAAAATTCTTTAACCTGAAAATTACAGAATTTTAAAGATCTTCGATGTTTGTAGCTTTCCGACGATCGAGTTTCTGGAATTACGGAAATGTTTATTTTCGCAGATGCAAAGAGTGCAATATTGTCTTTTGCCGACACGACAACTTTGTCGCGCACAAGAAACATTACTGCCAAGCTAGAGAGACGACGGTGAGCAACAGTCCGCCACCCCCGGGTACGCCAAGTCCGCCATTGGTGCAGCTAATCTGTGCGGCGTGTGGCATCAAGTTCGCCTCCATGGACAATCTGGTCGCTCATCAAGCGTTTTACTGTCCCAAGAGGCCCGAGCCTCAGGAGCACCACACGCGGTGTTCCAAGTGCAAGGTAAAAGACCTGTGAATAACGTAAAAAGAAGCCAAGTATCAAGAAATCTACGAGATGCATTTGTGAAGAATATCTAAAAATATCTTTAAAAGGCGCCATAAAAGGAATCTTCAGAATTTAGGACGCTTTTAAACGCATATGCAGCGTTTCGACCATTTGAGATGCTTTTTGGACTGTTTTTAAACACGCCTCGGTTCTTCATTAAGATTGACTACTCTTATCGATTCTTTGGGATGTCGAGACGAAGGATTTAATGAGACGAAATGGTTTGTGTGTCGGCAGGCGATAATAGAACCCGGCGGAAATCATACCTGCGCGAGTGGCGGCACGGGCGGCTGGCGGTGTCCGGTCTGCGGCGCCGTCAGTCCCACAGCCGGCGCGGCCCAGCGTCACATGGACTCCCATCAGGGTGTTAAAGCCTTCCGCTGCAAGATATGCACTTACAAGGGCAACACTCTGCGCGGTATGAGAACCCACATCCGGATGCATTTCGAGAAACGTGTCAGCGATCTACAGGTTAAACTTATTCTCTAATTCCTAAAACTTGAATGAATGGTTTCAAGCAACAAGAAAATAATTTCGCGATGTTCAAGTTGAATGCTGTCAAAAAACAGCTTTAGAAAAATTTAATTGAATACTTATTGGGAATATTGTGAAAAAATGCTAGAAGAATCTTTTATGCGTTTAAAAATTAAATTGGAGTTTTTTACTTTCAAAATTTATTGTTCTCAATTTTGTAATACTGAATCCCCGATTTCATCTGGCAAATTTTTAAAAATCTTAAAACATCTTATTGATTTATCACGGAAATTAAAAAAAATTAAAAATTATTTTAGTCTTCATTAAATTGTTTCTATAAATATCTTCTAATAAATTCCTTTTTACTCGACTCGTTAAATCTTCTCGCATATTAAATATATTTTCGCAAAATAAATTTTTTTTCTGCAAAATAAAAATGCGTTTTTGATGAAAGTTCTAATCAAGTATCATTATTCTATTTCAGGAGGAGAACTACATAAATTGCGTGTTGGATGACGAGACAACGTTGCCAACGGCGGAGCCGGCGGCCGCCACAACGCCGGAGGAGATCCCTACAGAGGTTCAAGTGAACGGCAAGATGGAAATCAGGAAGAGTCCGCAGCCGCGAGCGGCGCTGCCGCCGCCACCACCGACGCAGGTGATCGCCGATAAGGCAGTGAAGCAGGAACGCGAGGACACGCCGCCGCCACCACCCGAGGAGAGTCTGGACCCCACCAAGAGCGGGCCGCGCTACTGCCGCTCCTGCGACATCAGCTTCACCTACCTGAGCACCTTCATCGCTCACAAAAAGTTCTACTGCTCGAGCCACGCTGGTGAGGCCAGCAACAATAACAACAACAACAACAGTAATAATAACAACAACAACGCGAGCGGCCACTCGACGACGCCGCCGAGCAGTAGAGCTGAAGCGTCGGTGCTTTAAAACCGGAGCCTCGCCAGGATGACTTCTCCACACCGTTCGTTTAACTTCCCGCAGGACCTCTTCGAGATTTTCGGAGACACTTGAAAATCTACGAATCTATGCAAAACAATATTTTAGGAATAGTATTTCCTAAAGTGTGATCGTTAAAAATTGACTTTTTTAAATAATTAATGCGAAATTGTTTTGTCGAGAAAATTTTGTTAACTGTATAGAATACAGTTTTTTCATTTGATTAAATTTCTCCTCAACATATTTTATTGTATCGTTAATTTCGAAATGAGAAGTTTCGAGTATTTATTAGATTTTATTAGATTACACAAAATTTTTAACGATTTCAACTAAGAAAAGCATCAGATTTTCTTCGAAGAGGTTCCGGAAAGAGAGAGAAACGAAACGTGAGAGGCGCGATGACAAGCTAAAGAGGGGACTGTTAATTGTTGCCAGTTTATACATAATATAATGAACGACTTATCGGACTTCTTAGTTGACTACTACGTTGTGTGATTTTTGTTGATCCAGGGAATCGTTCGTACTTATAAGCCGAAGGTATCTACGTGTACATATATACATATATGTGCGTGCGTGAGGGCGAGTTCGCAAAAAAAGGCTGCAGACAAAGCCGCGATTATTTCATATAAATTAATCTAGAAACGTAACAGATAAATTATATGAAAGGCAATGGAGAACGAATAAATGAAGTTTAATAGCGTTAAAGGGTGCTAATTTTGATTTCGTGATAAAATAATATCTTTTAACGCACTTTCTAAAATATCAGGTATATGTTAATATTTTTTTAAATTTAACATTGTTAAATTAATTTAATTGAATAGCCTTTATTTAATGGAGAACGATGGATTATTTTACAAATTCAAAAAAGTTTGCGAGTGTAACTTATATTTAAAAATGAATAGCCAGTTGCGGCTCTGTTTGCAAACGATCATCTCGGCGATCGTAGCAATTCGGCATTCTCGATTTGAAGATGCCGAAGATCAGCGACGAGACGCTACATCGTCCTGTATATATAAAAAAATTTGACGAATTCGGTAAATCGCGGAGGAAGGAAAAAAAAGAAAAAGCGTGACTGGAGCTCCGTGAATCGGTTCCGGGCGAGAGGAGTGCAATCTCATGACTCTGGAATAATCTCATAGCATAGTTAATGAATCGACAATTACCTTAAGAACCGAATACGATGAGTGTAAAATGTTGTACAGTAGGCGAGTAGAGAGTATTACGGTGCAGTAGTAAAGCGATCCTGATGAATGATACCAATCTCAGCTTGTGAATCTGCTAAGTTACATTGCGCATTGTATGACATTTAATATATATATATATATATAATATATAATATATATATAATTATATAATATATAATATAATATATATAATTATATATATAATATAATATATATAATTATATAATATAATATATATAATTATATATATATATATATATATATA